CGTGTTATGCTATGATGGAGGCGTCCTTATTGTATTTTCATGCACTCTCACTTGATAACCAATGGATTACATGTTTAATCTGATGCATATTCTAATTTTTTATAGTGGAATTATGCATTTTTTTGTTTTGTTTTATCAATGCATATTTCGAATTTGAGATATATTACTAAACTAATAACTCATTTTATATGTTAATTCAGCAGTAAAAAGTGGACTAAAATATTACAATATTTTTATCATCGAATGTGTAGAATGTAAGTGGGAAAAAAAATAACAATTGAAGGAATCGTGTGGCATTGTGCTTAGTGAAAAACTATTAGGCCACTGTTACTAGAGAAGATTTAAAAGACATAAGAAAATTTGCACTTGATATTTTTAAAGTGTGATGTGTACGTTTAGCTATTAAAATATTTGTAGTGAATTATTGTTGTTAGGTCTCGCGTGAAGTTCATGATTAAGAAGTGCATGAAGGAATAACAATCTATAAAAATAAAACATAAAAGTAAAATAAAACATAAATACTTTTAAGTCTATCATTTATTGATACCAGTTCATCCAAATGATGATTTATTCAAAAGAGTTCGGAATCTATGAAAGTGAGTAATGGAATCAAGATTACTAATCACGTATTTAATAATAACAAAGTTATATAATTAAACTTTTATCACAAAATACGTGGCAATTCGGTTTGTTAATTTTTTAAGCAAACCAGTCAAGTTATGAGTAAGATAATTGGGTCAAGATTTTTTATGAATTTTAGGCCGAGTTAACCTAAAAATTATATTTAGAAAAAAAAATCCGATGGGCCGAGCGAAAACTCCAGATGGATCTACTATTCTCTTAGTTCCTAAATCAATATAATTTTCTTTTTCTTTAGTTTAAATTTTGTTAGTCCTTTAATTTTTTAAAAAAAATTTTTTTGTGCCTACAAGAATTACTATTTCAAAAGCAAATCAAACGAAAATATGAAACTAAAAATAATTTATCAATTTTAAATAAATAGGTATGTGCCTCATTATAAAAATTGATGTAGTTTTAAAAAAAGAAGAGTAAATATGAAATATAAAATAATAGATTAGGAAAAACACAATCAATATAGTCCATGAGAGCCTTGGTAAGTCTAACTGCAGTGGAACACTTCCTCTGCTCTTTTGGTAATTTGGTAAAACAAGGTAACATTTAATTCCTGTGGTTGTGTTCAAAGAATTTGAGTTGCTGTGAGGCCATGTCATCATATATGGAAGGCCATGCCAACGCAGATGGGGCCCACTTTGGCAAGTGAAAGCTTTTGGCCTTTTTTTGTTTTCTGTCCTTGACACATCAGAATTTTATGTACAATCCTTTTGGGCTTGGATTACCATAAATACACAACCCTTGACTAAATTGGGTTTAAATTAGTTGCAAATTACATGCTGTGCCACTAAAACACAACATGAAGCAATATCTAGGCAATTTTAACTTACATGGTAAGAAATCCACCATCACATCCAATGGTCAAAAAGCAATAAACCATTTCCAAAATTGAAATCTGGACGTTAATTAATTGTAATTCACCTGCTAATCAAAGCCACCAAGACCTAGCGAATGTGAATATATGCAAAAGTTTATCATGGGCGGCTTGCAATATTTAATTTAATTTTTTATTTTATTAAATTTATGTGGGGTATCCTATAAAAGTTGTTCGAAGTAAAAGTTAAACTTTATTCGGATGGAGTAATTTCAAATATAGGAATTTAGATGACATTATAAGATTAAATTGTTTGTTTATACCAAAACAAATGGATTCCAAGTACACTATATCTGGTTATTTTATTTACATCCGATATATTGTTTTGTAGTTCTTTTATAGCAAACCATTTGTTTCAAATGCCTCCGTCCAAATGGAGCCTTGTATACATTGAATTTGGAAAAATAAAAGTTATTTGCATTGAACATGTACCAAGTTGGTGGATATAATATTGTAAGGGAAGTATCACTTTAATTATTTGTAAGGTCGGATAGTCAAGATAGGATATGACAAGGACTTCGGAAGAATTTAGACATTTACTGCAGTTGAAAATGCATTTTATTAAAAGCACAACTAATTTTTTAAGAGATTAGAAGGGATTTCAGCTCATCCTAATCCTATGCCAAAGCTTAGTTCATCTGATATATATATTGTTTGAGGAACATGAGTTTATGTAATTCTTTAAGACCAAAACTTAATGTCCTAATAATCTTCTATAGAAACATGAGTTAACTTGTCAACTGATTTAGTTAAGCAATATATAGTACATTGATTGAATCTCCCTTTAATTTAGTATTTCTCTCCACGTTATATTAAGTTCAACTTATTGTAATTTTTTTCCCCCCAAAAGAGTAGAGATTCAATTGAAAAACAGGGTACAAACCCATAATACATCAGTAATAACACAGCCCCAGAATGAGGTTCTTGTATAGAGACTAAAACAACATAGCCAACTAAGCACAAGTATTACAAGATAGTTAGAAAACAAATATACAACTTGAAACCCAACTAACAAGGAATTACAAATGAGGATGACCTAAATCCCTGCAAACACTAGTGCTTTAAGAAGATCAAAATAGAGAACAATCTCTCTAACTTCATGGGACAAGAAACACCCCAAGAGTGGAGGGCATAACTGCTCAACTTCCACCAGGACATTCTAAAGAATATCACAGCATCTCTTAATCCCCACTTGACCCCAAGCACAATAAAAGTAGATCCACCAAATCAGCAGCTCCACCTCCAACATAGAGAGATCTACACGAGATCTACCACAAAAGGAGTAGATCTAGCAAGATCTTCCAATGACCAGCCCCAAAAGACTAGGACACAAACCCTAAAGAAAAAGGGAAGAAACAAAACCTTGCAAACCAAGGATTAGACAAAACCCAACAAAAGTTGGGCGGGAAAACCTCTCCACAACATAACGGGGGGGAGAGAGGCCCGAATTATTAACCTAAGGGAGTGGTTTCAGGGGAGATCCCCTGGAACCAAAGAGATTTTCAGATCTGGAGCAGTTTTGAGTTAGGTAAAGAAGAAGAGTCTTTTTGTGTTTGTTTATCTATGTAATAGTTTGGTTCAACTGATTGTAATTCTAACTCTTTTACTTATTTTATTCTTGTCACATGAACTAACCTTATGAAATATTTTTTAATTAAAAAAAAAAAGAAAAAGAGAGGAATTTGGTAGTAGTAATGGTGGAGCATTCTCTTCAATCTTCACCACTACCCTCCTCTCTCTTCCTCCTCACTGAACCCTTCACTAACCACTGAGGTCGGTGAGGCTATGCGAAGTTTTGAGAGAAACAGATCTGCGGCTCATCACTAATAATATTAATATTGTCTCCAACTTAACCACCTACAAAGCCCAGTAAGTGGGAGGTTTTATTTAAAATGCCTTGATGCTATTAGTAATGAAACTATTCATTATATATTGTGTTTTATTTAGTCAAATTTTCGATGATGATAATCTCAAAATTAACTAAGGTACCCAAAAAAAAGTCATTTTGGTGTAAAGTATGCATAGAAAATTAAATAATTTAACAAAAATTACGAGTCGGGTGTACAAAGAAATTGGGTGTTCAAAAAAATTTATCCAGTCCAAAATAATTATAGTCTGTTTTAGAGACGTGTCACACTCAGTCCAAGCTCAAAAACATAAAACATTAAAGTGAGTGCGGGGCCAGAGTGTTTATAAAATACGAGTCACTGTCACTGTCATACGTTTGGACCACAAATTAGACTTCTTTTTTGTCCTTACGTCAGATAGAGTCATGCATGCACTGACCCAACCCACCTTTTTTCTCTGCCTACCCACCTTAGAGTGCGTGATGTCTACGCACACCCCTTCGTGAAAGTGAATATATAAAAATAAATTTGTTTTTCTTTTTTATTTACTGTGTTTGGTTTCGATGCCATCACGACTGAATCTCACTTTTAAAATTTGCGTTTAGTATATAAATTCATACATGGGGCAGGACCGGCTATGAGATTTTTAAGGTTTATGGCAAAAAGTTTAGGCCTTCGACAAAATTTTATTTATTTTTTGTATATAAGAAATGATTGAAGACAAAAAAAAAAAAGTACTAAAAAAACCATGCACTCGCCTAGAAAAGAAATTAAAAAACATACTCAATGTTGGGATCGAACCTGAGTTGGGTGTGCATTAAAAACTATCTTACCACCGCTGGAGTGAACTTAAGATAATATTGATGTGTTTATCTATATAACTAGTTACCAAAATATGACCACATAAAAAAAAAATAAAAAAAATAGGGGCCTTGACTCCGAGCAGGGGCTGTATATGGGGTCATTACAAATTTATACATGACCTTTTGAGACACTACATTTTGGGTATCCAAATTTTGTTGCTGAAAATGTATTATATATTTTCTTTACCATATGAATTTCTGATATATTTCTTTAATTTATAAATAAAAGAAAAAAAGGCATTATAGAAAAGAATGTCAAACCATCCTAAAATGAGATTCACATCACCTTTAATGACCTTAGGGGATTGGTGAGGGCGTCTAATACAATCCAAAAAGGCTTTAGAGTCTAAGAATTCTCTTTAGTATGATGGAATAGAAACCATCTTGGACAGTTCAAACTCATTTTCAATTTTGACTAGAAAAAGACCATTGAAAATACCACGGCAACTACACATTATAAGTCGAAGGCACAAACCATATTACTTAAGTCGAAGATATGGGAACGATCCTTGAACTGTGGGCTTCAGCTGAGTACAAATTTTTAAAAATTTGTGCTACATTTTAGAGTATCCATCTAATTTAGTAGGAATTAGCCCACCGTGTTTAGTTAAAATTGGTCCGCTCCACTCAAGTAACTTTAAATAAAAAAAGTTAGTCAACCATTCATACAAAATAGATGAGAAAAAAAAAAATTTTGCTCACTCTCATGAAAATTTCTAATTTTACCCCTACGTCTCACATATATTTACAATCAATAACCTAAATAGAACATCAAGGCTACTCTAGCTACAAATAAGAAAATATCCTATTATCTATGACTAAAACCAATAGTTCAGATTTTAGAAAGTATTCAAATGATGCCACTTCGACGTTGGTAGCTTCAATGATTTATATTCTAAGTGGTTTGTATCTACAGGCACATTATAGATATTAAATACATCACTATTTTCTTTATAACTTTAAGCTATTAAAAATTAACACTCGACAAAGTTAAATATGTAAAAGAAAAAACATATTTATGCACGGGATGCACACAAGTATTTCCTCGAAAATTTCGAAAATTTTAAAAACATTCAAGTTTTAGGCATTTGAATTTTCTCCAGGCTCTTTGACCTTTTTGTAAGAATGAGTTTTGAACATTACACGAGAGAGTTGCGATCATTATCCGAAGAGAACGAATGATAATTTTTTATTACTAAGTGTAATCATGTGGTACGTTCAATGTATCGGTATATTATTTTATCAACGGCTGGATTTTAGTTTCTTAATTTAATAATTAAAAATGCGATACACCAATGCATTGTATGTGCCGTAGAAGGAGAAAAACAAAAAAAGGTCAAAAAGTTTTTATAGAAATTTATCTTGAAACCTTAGCTTGTAAGTAAAAGGAAGAGAGTGACCAACACTCTCCCAAAACGGGCGCTGGATACTGAAAACACCTCAACCGTCACCGTCCTCTTTTGACAAAGCTGAAACAGCTGTCAGGACTAAAGCTTTCCTGGGTGGGGCCCACAGACACTTGTCTCACATGGACAAAGCTTGCCGATCTGCTATCGTACTTATCATTGATAAGCAGAAGTACTTATACCTCGTAGGTACCGCCTCGTTGTATATAATATCTCTCTGCCCTCCCCTTCAGTCCCATTAACATTTCTCAGCAGCAGCATAGTAGCATAGGGAAGAGAGCTCTCTGAGATATATATATATATATATATATAGAGAGAGAGAGAGAGAGAGAGAGCGTGAGAGTGAGTTTCAGTCCTCTGTTTCTTCAGTGGCTCTGTTCTTCTCTGTTTTGCAGGTAATCTTCTGGGTTTTTCTTTTTTTTACTTTTACCTCTGAAAAAGAGGTCAGCTTTTGCTTCTTTATGCCTTCTATTTCATCCCACCTTCTTCTTTATGCCCTCTTGAATTTTACTGGGTTGTGGCTACTTTACTGTTTTTGATTTCTGAGAACCCTAATTTTCTCTGACATGGGTTGAAAGCTCTTGCTTTCAGCCTTCCATTTTTGCCAAACCATGAATGTTCTTGAGCCTCGATGACAAATAATTCTGGGTTGTCGTCAGGGACGATTTCTTGTATCCGATTTGTTCACAGAAAAGAGTTTTGTTTTATTAACAAAAAATATTGGTGTATTTTGTGGTTTGGTGCATCTCAGACAATTTTGATTGGTGTGAAGCCCTGTCTCTTTCAATGAAATATCAATTCCATGGAGAATTTTGACTCTTTTTGACTGTTTTTCTCAATATTTTCCAGGTGATGTGATTTTTTCTTCTTCTTGTTTTGGGTTGATAAATTGTAACATTTTCCATTAAAACAAACAGGCCCTTCTGTTGCCTGCATGTTCTTTCTTTGTATTTTGGGGAAATTCTTGCTTTTTTTTTTTGGTGTTGTTATTGGTGATATCGTCTTATTTGCAGGTTGAGGATAAGGAGAAGTAATTATAATGACGTCGTCTCTCAGTAGGGACCTCATCTTCTTGATCTTGCAGTTACTTGAAGAGGAAAAGTTCAAAGACACTCTTCATAAGTAATTACTAATCCCAACTTCCATGTCTTTATTTTGGATATGTTATGCAGCTATTATTGATTTATTTACAATTTCTGTTTTTGGAAATCCTCAATCAGGCTTGAGCAAGAATCAGGATTGTTCTTTAATCTGAAGTATTTTGAGGAATTAGTACTTGGTGGGAACTGGGATGAGGTCGAGCGGTATCTTTTGGGGTTCACTAAAGTGGATGACAACCGGTATTCGATGAAGGTCTTCTTCGAAATTCGTAAGCAGAAGTATCTCGAGGCATTAGATAAGTAAGCATTTGATTCATAAAAATTTACCCTTTTTATAAACAGCTCCATATCTTTTTTTTTTTTCATAACGTTGTATATAGTTTAATCAAATTTTGAAACTAACCAGACAGGATAGAGCCAAAGCAGTAGATATCCTCGTGAAGGATCTGAAGGTTTTCGCGGGTTTTAATGAAGATTTGTTCAAGGAAATCACTCAGCTCCTGACATTAGACAATTTTAGGTATATGTTCTAAACCAATTTTGTGAGCTTCAAAATTGCTTGTGGACTCGTAGTGTTGTTCTCAACTGGCATTGTGAAATTGATTTGCGTTATGCAGGGAAAATGCTCAACTAGCTAGCTATAGAGATACAAAGACAGCAAGAGCAATTATGGTCATTGAACTTAAGAAGCTTATTGAGGCCAATCCTCTTTTCCGTGAAAAAATACAGTTTCCTAACTTAAGAACTTCAAGGTTGCGGATGCTCATTAACCAAAGGTAAACTAGTAATATACCATAAGAATAAAAAGAAAATTTGTGTTCCTTTCAAGTGAGTGAAATTTATTTATTTTTTTTATTTTTTTTCGTGTAACTTGTCTTATGGAATTTCGTTTGTGTGTGGCCAGAAAAATAAAAAGGTTCTCATATGTTAGAAGTTTTGCAATTTTTTTCTATAATGCTCTTCTATATTTTGCAAATGAACTGATTTTAGAATGAATATGGCAGCTTGAATTGGCAGCACTCCCTTTGTTCAAATCCTAGACAGAATCCTGATATAAGAACCCTATTTGTGGATCACTCTTGTAAAAATTCCAATGATTCATTCGCTCAATTAACAGCAAACAATCAGCTGATGGGTTCTGTACAAAGAGTTGATGGTTTTCTTCCTATGGGTTCTGTACAAACAGCAAACAGTCAGCTGATGGGTTCTGTAAATGGGGTACTGCCCATAGATTACTTGTTTCTTAATTTTTCTTCAGAGTGCTGCTGGAATGTTTAAACGTTAACTTATTTATGCTTATTGTTTGAATATTTCCTATCAGTCCTTCCAACCCCCACCAGCGCCAGTTCATCCTCCGTTATCCGCATGGATGTCTATTCCTTCGACTGTAAATCATCCAGCAGCTTCTGGAGGAGGTATTGGTTTTGGTAGTCTAACAAATCCAGGTAGTTTTTTAGTTTTTATTTCTGAGTAATTTTCTCTAAGGCTTTGAATCATGAATAAGCTTGTATTTTCATTTCTGATAATATTCTATTGCCTGGTCTAGCTTCATCAGTGAGGGGTCCTGGGGATTCTGATGATTTTTTCAGAACGCGATTCTCTGGGGTTTCGGACAGGGTAAGCTTACGTCCGACTGCATGATGAGCACACAACTTGAATTTGGACCATATTTATTTATACCCTCTGTAGGTTATGTTGCCAGGGATTAATCCAGGTCAAAGTAGTACTACATTTAACGCAACAGAATTCCCCAAGACAGTTGCTCGGACTCTGAATCAGGGGTCAGCTCCCACAAGCATGGACTTCCATCCTGTTCAGCATACGCTGCTTCTAGGTTGGTTGAGCTTTCCTTTAAGGACATATTTGGAATATGAGATGATTATTTTTTAGAATACATGTATCTGTTTAAGTCGTAAGCTTATAAGTATTTCCTGCACCAGTTGGAACTAATGTGGGGGATATAAGCTTGTGGGAAGTTAGTTCAAGGGAGAAGTTGGTATCAAGAAATTTTCAGGTATGGGATATCGGAGCAAGTTCAATGATGCTAAAGGTATGTTCCCTTATCACAAGAGATATTAGAGAGCAAATTCACATTTTATTTCACTGGGATCATCTTAACTTAATTGATTTCTAATGAAACTCAGGCTACTCTGATCAAGGATCCATGTGTCTCAGTTAAGCGTATACTTTGGAGCCCTGATGGTTCTCTATTTGGTAAGTTTGAATATATAGGACGACAGCTTTTTTCTGAAAACAGGTTTAATATAATTGTTCTTTCAAACAGGAGTTGCATATTCTAAACATATAATGCAATTATACACTTATTTGGGTGGGAATGAGATTCGCCAGCATTTGGAGGTAGGTTCTGCTATCTTCTACCTTTTCAGAATATTTAAGTTTGCTGTTTTCTTTTCTAATAAGTTTTTCATTTTCTAGATTGATGCCCATGTTGGTAGCATTAATGATCTGGCGTTCTGTAACCCGACCAAGCAACTCTCTGTCATTACTTGTGGTGATGATAAGGCCATTAAGGTTGGTTAGAAAAGTGGTTAGATAGTTGGTCGTGGAAAACATGATATCTTATACACCAATTTTGTGATTTATAGGTGTGGGATGCATCAAATGGGTCAAAGTTGTATAGTTTTGAAGGTCATGATGCTCCGGTCCATTCTGTGTGCCCTCACAACAAGGAGAATGTCCATGTGAGGACTTCATTCGTAATTGTTTTTGGTTGATTAGTCCTCTTTCATCTGCCTTCTATGAATGATTTACTCTATGTCTTTTTCATCTGTCTCAGTTTGTCTTTTCAACATCAGTAGATGGAAAAATAAGAGCATGGTTGTATGACAATCTGGGATCTAGGGTGGATTATGATGCTCCTGGCCGCTCATGCACAACAATGGTCTACAGTGCAGATGGTAAAAGGTTGGTCCATAGCCATTCTAATGTTTTTGCTACCTATGCTTATATTTTGGGAAACATTAAAGTTCGATCTTTACATTAAACGCAATGCAGGCTCTTTTCATGTGGGACAAGCAAAGATGGAGAATCTCATGTTGTTGAATGGAATGAAAATGAAGGTGTAATAAAGAGGAATTACGTAGGATTTCAAAAACATTCTGTGGGTGTTGTTCAGTTTGATACAACCAAGAATAAGTTTTTGGCTGTTGGAGATGACTATGCAATCAAAGTTTGGGATATGGATAATGCCAATCTTTTGACTAATATTGATGCTGAAGGAGGCCTACCAGTAAGCTTCCTTTGAAATGTTCAGCATACTTCTGTTCTAAAAGTGGTGGCTCTACTTATACATTAATATTATTTTTCCATTTTAAGGCAAGTCCTTGCATTCGCTTCAACAAGGAGGGCTCTTTATTGGCTGTTTCTGCAAATGACAATAGAGTCAAAATTTTAGCTACGATGGATGGTCTCCGTCTGATGCGCACTTATGAAAGTCACTCACTTATTTCCTTGAGAAATGCATCTGAGACTGTAACAAAGGTCAGCTTATCAAATTTCTATTAATTCCCTGAATAGAAGATTCTTTTTTCTTTCCTGAAGCTGTGTGCAAGAAGCAATCTTCCAAGTATTGCAACTGCATTTAATGGTTCTGGCCAAATCATGTTTTCCTTGTGCAATTTTGTACCATGCACGAAGTTTATGCTTCATCCTGCTCCTATATGTCATAAAAGTACTTCTAGTCTAATGAATTTAGCATGCTTGACAGAATGGTAGCACCAGAAACCTGGATGATGTGAAACCAAGATTAACTGAAGAAGTCAATACAAGGATATGGAAGCTCACTGAGATCAGTGAAACTGCTCAGCTCCGGTCATTGAGGCTCTCAGCTATGATGAAATCAGACAAGGTTTGATTTCTTATCTAATATTTAGCATCAGGGACTCTCAAGTTTGTTCATTCATTTCAGAAATAAGTAGGTATTCGTTTACTGGGACATTCCTGTGTCTCATTGATTATGCACTTCTGCTTCTGCACACTTTGGCCTTTTTTTCTTCTCAAAATTTATTGTTTACTGATTTTTCCAGAAAAAAAGGAAAAAGGTTTTTGTTATCTCTGTTTCTTGTAAAAGAAAAAGTAAGTTCCTCATTTGCTTCTTCTGTTACTATTACAGATCTCAAGGCTGACATACAGTAATTCAGGTAGTGCCATTTTGGCATTGGGATCCAATGCCATCCATCTACTGTGGAGGTGGCCACGGGGTGACCATAATTCGAGTATCAAGGTACAAATTCTCAATATTTGCTCTGATCCGGTTGCAAATAGTTCAAATTGATGATTATACCACCTTCATATTCAATCTGATTTTTTTCTTCTTTAATTCAATTCTAAAATGAGGATTATGGCTGTGCAATTTTTATTGTCTAGGCGACAACCAAGGTTACCCCACAGTTAGTGCAACCGACTTCGGGCATTCTAATGACCAATGATCTTACTGGTGCTAAACCTGAATATGCACTACCCAGCTTTGCTTTGTCCAAGAATGATTCTTATGTCATGTCAACCTCTGGAGGGAAGATATCTTTGTTTAACATGATGACATTCAAGGTAAGTTTAATATATCAACATGATTCAGTTTCTTGTGTTTTTACACATGTTACCTTTAGAAATGTGTTTTTTCCCCCAAAAATTGGTTGGGGCTCTTGGCAAATTTTTTACACATCAATGTACGAGTTTATTTTCTCAACTACAGACAATGACAACTTTCATGTGTCCACCCCCTGTGGCAACAAGTCTTGCTTTCCACCCAGACGACAATAATATAATTGCTGTTGGCATGGATGATTCCACCATTCACATATACAATGCCCGTGTAGACGAGGTATGGTGGTTTCGTAGCACAGTGCACATAGAATTGCAATTGCGCTTACTCGATATATATATCTAGGTGATCACTTTGTTCCTGGTGTTAGGTTAAGAACAAGCTTAAGGGTCACTCCAAAAGAGTCACGGGTCTTGCCTTCTCCCATGTTCTGCATACACTTGTTTCTCTTGGAGCGGATGCTCAGGTTAGTATTCCATCCTCAACAAGTTGGAAATATAATCCTACATCTTTCTAAGTAGTCCCTCTCAGTGTGCTTTTCAAGTTAATATCAGAGAGAATTGCAAAACAGGCACTTTCCTACTGATGCCTAGACATTAAAAACATTAAACAAAGAGGATCGTTATGAATAATTCTGATATATCATAATTTTCAATTTTGTTTTTTTTCCCCAGCTTATTGTGTGGAACTCTGATAAGTGGGAAAGGCAGAAGAACTGTTTCTTGCAAATTCCGGCTGGGAGGACACCTGCAACGATGTTCGAAACTCAGCTTCAGTATCACAAAGATCAGATACACTTCCTTGTTATACATGAGACTCAACTTGCAGTATATGAAACGTCGAAACTTGAATGTGAAAAGCAGGTAATTTCATTTCAGCACACACTTTTTTCAGTGGATCACTTAGCTCTCGAACAATTTTCTTTTGTCCCCTGAATTTTTTTTAATCACATCATGGTATTGAGAAGCACTTCACTTATCACCAACAAATAGAACAAATGACTGCTAAAACGCTTTGGCTTTCTAATAATTGACGAGAGCAGTCTCAGTATTATGATTTGCTGCACTGTGATATGTGACATGTTTTCTATTTCGTGTTTCAGTGGGTTGTAGGAGAATCTGCAGCGCCAATCTCGCATGCAGCATTCTCTTGTGATAGCCAGTTAGTGTATGCCAGCTTTCAGGATGCAACTGTGTGCGTGTTTAATGCATCAAATCTGCAAGTGCAATGCCAGATTAATCCCACTGCTTATCTTCCACCCGATTTCAGGTGATTGGTATTTTCCTTGATATCTTAAAAGAGCATAAACCATACTACAATAACAAGTTCTGCATCTCATCCCTATACTAAGTTGAACAAACTGTTACGGCTGTGAATGTCGATGGTCATTTCATTCTTAATTTCTGTTCTATTTTTCCTTTCTTCTGCTGCAGTTCTGCATCATACCCTCTAGTTGTAGCTGCACATCCACAAGAGCCAAACCAGTTTGCTGTAGGGCTAACTGATGGTGCAGTTGTGATCGTTGAACCCCTTGAATCTGAAGACAAATGGGGTGTGCCTCCACCTGTTGACAATGGGTTACAAAGTGTCTTCCATACTACATCTCCAGTCAATGCTTCCAGTTTGGATCAACCCTAGACTTGATAAGGCCTAGTTAGGACTTTTGAGACTCCATATTTTAATAAAGCCTTAGGAGTTTAATTTAGTTTTCTTCTTTTTTCTTTTCTTTTGGCCATTTCTACAGGCCTAGTTGGATCTTTTAAATTTCTGGGGCAAGTCCCATATGCTTGTGATTTGTTCCCAGTAGTAATTGTCTCAGACTCTTTTGCTTTGCAATGAAATATTTAGCTTATTGCTGAAGATGGGACTGAAACCTTGGTCAAGATTTTAAATTGGGGTGGGCTTGGTTTTTCTCTATATCGACAAAATATCGATGTCGGAAAAACTTACAATGGGAGCTCAGACTTGTGGACTACAAAACTTACTTAAGAACTTACAATGGGAGCTCAGACTTGTGGACTACAAAACTTACTTAAGAATATGGAGAAAGTATATGGAAGTTTGAATAAAATCTTGGAAAATGTTTTCTCTGATATAAAAAACTCTTGAATGAAATTTTGATATAAAAAAAAAAAAAGGAGTCCTAATTTTCCAATTCATTTGACTGAATTTTAAATTTCAAAGCTGGTCTAAAACTGGTAAACGACAGGATACTTGCTAAGTTGAAACTCTGGGGACCTAACTTAAAATCTACGCAGAATGCAGGGCTAAAAACGTAATTAACCCAAAATACAAAGCCCAAATTTAAAACCGACAAGTCAATGAAAGCTCGCCTTAGCCTGACAGCTTTTCCTTGATAAAACAACGACAGTTCAATCATCGCTGTTAGATCGGATTTCACAAGCATGGTCTTGTCTTTTTCTATAGATCTGACGGCCTAAAGTTGTTCTGTGATACTTACCTGCTGTGACTATATCTTTTGTGTTACTCCTTCCAGAACCAGGTCCTAGTGGCTACGGTAGCGTCTCTCTCCCAATTACAATATCCTCAAAACCCTAGCTTAAGCCCTCAATTTCCCAAAACCCTAGATTATCTCTCTTTAAATTCTCTCTCAATTAGGGTTTACTCTTTGTAAAAATAATATTTTTGGGAATGGAGATGCAGAGCCTCTGCTCCAACAGCCTTGTCTTGGATGGTTTTCTCTGCTCTGTAGTGCAGGCTATGGTAGCTGAGGCAGCCATTGTTGCTGCCAAGTCTATTGCTTTGTACTTCTGGATGGTATGTGCTCTCTTACTTTATAATTAATTTTGCATCAACATGTTTTTCTAAAATGTTTTTAATATTTTTTTCCTGGTTGTAAGTTCTCAATTTTATGTTTTTACTTGGTTTTGTTTGGTCTAGTGCATTGGGGTTTCTCTGAGGATTTGGGGTTTTGTTTTTTTTGTTATTTTGTACTTAAAGAACTTGGTTTTCTTCCATATGTGGCTTAGGCTTGTCTGGATTTTTGGGGGTTTTTTGTGCTTTTATGTTTGCGATGATTCTTTCACTCCCTAAGCATTTCATAGTTTTTACTCTATTTAGGACTATAAGAATTTTATGAGATTTTGTTTTCAATTTTTAGATGTATCTTTCCCAAATCTTAGTTTTTTGTCATATCTTTATAAGAGCTTTGATGGTGTGGGGTTTTAATTACTGTATTTATAATTTGCTGAAAGGCTTAGTACCAAAGTTATAAAAAAAAATAAAAATAAAAATAAAAAACCTGTGTTGGGCTAAAAGTTTTTTCCCCCCAAAGTGAATAGGGAGGCTATATAAACTTGAAAGAAGAGAAGAGATTGGGAGAGGATAGGGTTTTTAAATTTAAATATGCCCTTTGTATAGAGTTTGACTTTGAATTGCCTGTGTAGCAAACCTTGTCAAATTTTGAATCATTCTTACCTGGAAATATGACAGAATATATTTTATTTTGGGGGTTGAATTATATGATGGCCTGATCGATGCATACCCCTTGATTATCTCGGATTATTTGTGATAGAATTGATATGCTAAGTAACTGCTTGTTCTCGTTATCACTTTTACTTTGAAATATATCCTCGAGATGAGACAGAGTGTTGTTTAGGTAGGCCCATACCAAAGAGAAGTTGAAGAATTAGGCAAATGAGAGGGTGATGTTTTTTATTGTTTTTAGTTTCATTTTTGTTGCTGGAACATTTAAGTTTGCTTCGTTTTTCATGCTGTTGTGGATTCAAATATGAAATCCTTGTTATTGGCTGGAGGCATTCTCCATCTCTTTGCTGAAAATGTAGTCATTGATTATAGTTCCAACAATTGATAAAAAGTTCCCCTTTTAAGACTGAATAAATGAAGCTTAGTGACCATTCAAGCTAAACTTTTTCTGACCTCTGTGTTTGTGTGGCCTGAGTTATCATGCAGCTACATGATTTTATACTAGTTTCACCTTGTTGCTCTTTTAGCCTCTGCCTTTAACTTTTTCTACATACTTGCTAAGCAAAATATTTAATTCTTCCTTTTATCTTCGTTCACCATGAGTTTATGGTTTTTCAGATGGGATCTATTCCCAACACAACCACTGTTTTTCCCAAAGAACCTGAGGAACTCACAGGGTTAGTGTTGTGACTTCTTTTTTCGTCAATTAATGTTGTCTTTCTTTGATGGGGAAGTCAGTGAAGCCAATTATTTTGTCTGCAGATTTCCTATCACTGAGCTTTTTGCAGTGGAAAAACCTGGTCCTGAGAACAAAGATGCAAGTGAAACTGAGGACGACGACGATGATGATGATGATGATGCTGCTGGTGGTGATGACCAGGATGATGATGGAGGTGATGCGGATGATGCCTCTGGGGAAGAGAATGAGGGTAAAGCAAATCCAGAAGACGAGCCTGAGGCCAATGGTGATGGTGTGAGTGAAGAGGATGGTGATGATGATGATGATGACGACGATGATGACGATGATGATGACGGCGATGATGGGGAGGAAGACACTGAGGACGATGAAGAGGATGAGGAAGATGAGGAGGAGGAAGAGATACCTCAGCCACCTGCTAAGAGGAGGAAATGAAGTTTTTCATTGTTTCTTTTAACTTTGCTGCCTTTTCTGGTTACCGGGAATTTGGGTTTGTAGGAGTTGAGTAATTTAGGTGGCATGTCCACATATGGTAGAAATGTTCACTGTACTTGTTCTCTAAGCTATCAAAATTCTTAGTTCTACACCTTTAATATATATCTCCCTCTCTCTTTCTCTCTGCGGATGGAAATGACAATGCCCATTTGTGGGATACTTTTAACATTTGGTTGCTAAATCACAAAGCTCCATCTGATTGTGTTGATAGATGGTCAAATACGTAACATGGGATTCGGATCCTCTTCTTGGGTTTCCTCTAGTTTTTATTAAAACTCATCCAAAATCTAAAAACGGTAGTGCATCTGTTCCCTTCAGTCTTCTTCTCCATTTTAACTGCAAAGAACTGGACATTTTTCTCTCAAAAGCAACTCTTCTCCCGTTTGAAAACTTGTTTTTGTCTCCTCAAATGTAGGCACAACGTCATATATGGGCATAAAAGCAGTATTTCATTTATTTATTTATTTTTGTTTTTTTTTAAAATATTGGATTCAATCATTCATTAAAAAGAATCCCAAAAATATAAACGGACAAACTTAGCACCATATATACAGAAGAAGTGAGGGAGAAGGAGAAGAAGATTTCGAAGATAAGCTAACAGACTTGCGCACATCTATATATCTTAGGAAAAACTAAAAAAATTTAAAGCCACTTCGTTTATGTCTTTTTTTTCAGCAACTTTAATAATCTTCATATAAGAGTTTCTTCTCTTTGCACTTAAAATACTCTGTTCGTCCCCTTAAAAAAGAATTCTGCTTGGTTGTTCATTTTCGTTCAAATTAGGTTTATAAATAATTTTTTTATATTCCAAATCATAGGTGTGGTCATTAAAAAGTAAGGACCAGAATAGTGATTTAAGATGAAGAGGAGTGGCATAGCTTTGAGAGAGAGAGAGAGAGAGAGAGAGAGAGAGTAAAATTGTGTTTTCTGCAGCTAATGCATAGAAGAGTGAAGAGAAAATACGTAGATGGGTCACGTTTTTAGCCTTTGAATGAAACTTAACTGATGTGGCATGCTTAGAATTAAAGCCAATTAGATCATAGCAGAGAATTCGGATCACATAATACGATAGATGGATTCTCTAAACAAAAATGTTGGCCAGATTAAGTCAAATTTGGGTCGGGTGTCTGTCAATATGTTAGACAATTTCCTTTTTCTAACAAATAATATGAAGGGGGCATAATCCAAAAATATTGTCATCAAACAGTCAAACTGGGAGCTTGTAAATAATGTAAATAACTGAGCATTATTATGTATTATTGCAGCATGTAAATATCTGATTTTGTTACATTAGATTAGAAACGAAAATCCCTAGTTGAATTCAAATCTCTTTTTTCAAAAGCTTCAAACTTTTTTCTAGGCCTCCTCTCATCAACAGCCACCACCAATAACAGAGGAGCTAGGCAATAGAAGGAAAGGAGGATCCCAAGCATATGAGAATTTCACAGAAGCACCAGCATCCAAGAGATTGCCCATGATGAGGAGGCACACGTCACCTTGCTTTTTCAGGATTGCTGGATCAACAGGCTCTGTAGTCTGGAACCCTCTGCAGCTCAAAACTATGGACGTTTGAGCACATGCGCAGTTGTTGGTCACAACCACGTTCCATTCTGGCTTGCCTCCTATCTCTCTCCCACTTCTGGCTGTGCCAATGTTAATGTTGTTCAAAGTGCAAGCACAAAACCCTGCAATTTTGATGAAGGAAATATGTGAAACCTTACTATAAGAAAAACTGTCTTTATATACATTCGTTGCATGGAAGAATTTTACTACAGAGAAATTGTCTTAAATTTACGGTAACATTGTTATATACGTTGGTTGCATATGCAAGAATTTTATTATAGATGAGTTGTCTCAAATTTAAGTCATTTGAGATACACTTCGGGTGCCGAAGTAAATCAATGGATAAAAACACTACATTACTACTTTTACCTTTGCTAACGAGACTCAAAAGAAGAACCAGAACGAAGGACTTGGCAATGGCTTCCATGGTTAAGAAATATTTCAGTGATGAGATCCTTGGTGGTGGATTATGTTCTTATTTATATTCACTGGATTATGAATTCTAACAGATAACTTTGGTAACGCCATAAATCCGCTCTGAAATTACGTCTTTCAATATTTGCTTTGTTCTAATGACATAAATATGGTGGTCAACACCTTAAAGAGATACATTGTATTTTTTTTTTGGGTGTTTTGTTATGCAACCAAAAACAGAGCATGTAACATATTTATTTATTTTAGTTGACTATAATATATTTTCGTTGTCACTCCAATTTTTTTATTTTTTTATAATTCACTCTTTTATTTGCAATTTCTTTTTATAAGAAAGTAGTGCATGAAATTGTTTTTTGAGTGTCAATAAAAGTTCCCTATTTATTTTCACTAATTTTATGATAATTAATCCTTCTAAGACCTTGAATAGTAATTAATTTGGTAACCATTTATAACCAAGGCCGGCCATGGCCCTGGGCCCTTGAACAAGGGGCCCCAAATGTTTTAATATTTGTATATTAAAAGTCAGTCATTTTATTAATTAGCTAAATGGTCTGTAACACATCAATGCTCCGCATAAAAAGAGATTAATATTCTAAACGTACAACTTGTAATTCAAGTGATTAAGAGCATTTACGTGAAATTTAGTGCTCGACTTATCTTTGCCCCTGTGCTGCTTGTATCAACAAGTTGACTTGTTAACTTTATCAACCATTCACAAGCATACTGGTAAACAACAATTTATGATCAATGAGGAGATGGACCTTTAGGCTCTAAATCTAATTCAATAAGAAAATGAACCCAATTGGTAGAAGAAGACCTACAATTTGCCGCAAGCTCTAAGACCAAGGTTGCTTTGAAGGAAGACCACCCATTATATGGCAATCATATTTAATGTTGATTTGTGTGACATATCATATTTAATGTTAATATGTCAATTTGCATGATTATTATTTCCTCTTTTTTTTTTATATTCATGTTGTCTTCCCACTCATCATGTAAATTTGAAAAACAAAATCCTATCTTTCCATTTATCATTTTTCCTAAAAATGCTATTTAATTATTAATTCAAGAAAATTCACTTTGGTTTGGGTTTTCTCATAATTAAAACATACAGATATATTTCCTAAAAAACCGTAAATTAAAAATCCTAAATAAGCGCCAAGTTTAATGCCTTTCTTCCCCTTATTTGTTCTTCTTCCTTTCTCTGCAAGCGTTTACCCCCATAATATTGGGGAGTTATATTTTCTTTATGCTTTATTCTTTTGATCCCTTGTAGATTGATTTTTCTTGTGTGTTTTGTCACTGTAAAGTTTTTTTTTTTTTTTTTCGGTGTCCATTTAACTGTAGAATATTTTTTTTAGGGGCTGGGTTCGTTTAATTTGAATTTGATTATAAGTTTAAATGATGCAAAATCAAAATTCCATAATAGGTACATGTGGGAACCCAGGCGTCAATATTTGCAGGATTGAACAGTAGGGATTGCCAAGAACTGTTAATCATATGGGAAAGACATGACTTGACGAATATGAAAAAAAGAGCTACAGTTTGGCGTCTCTTTGTTTAATTATGGAAAAAAAGTTTAAAAAAATTTCTTATGAAATTAAGTTTTTATTTTAGGTTTGAAGTTTTTTCCTAAGTCCTTAGAAGCCATTTTACAAAGGGGTAAATTTGTCTATAAAATTTTAAAGATAAGGTAGGTGGGAAAAATAGGAAAGCATGTGGAAATAGCAGCATTCATGATTTATTACTCAATCAATTACAAAGATATCAATTTGAGAATCATAAAAAAAGAATGTTACTACTTCCACCTCTTATCATATTTCCCCGCCCACTATGTAAATTTAAAAATACAAAATTCTATTTTTCCACCCATCATTATTCCTAAAATACCCTTTAATTATTAATTCAAGCAAATTCTATTTTTTTCTCCTTCTTTCTTCTATTCTCCCCAGGACTCTTATTTGCTTTCTCATCACCATGAAGCAAGTTGGTTCCTTCATCTTCGGAAACTCTTGAGAGGTCTTTCATTTTTTCTAGATTGAAAAGTCTCTTTTTGTTCTTTAAAATTTCAGCGTTGTGTAGTTGAGTGAGTGGCTGCTGGGTTCTTGCGTATTTTTTTTTTCCATACAAACTTGAACAACTCACCCGGTAATCCACCATGAAAGCAACATGTTTGAATGGGCTTGTGATTTGTTGTGCGTAGGGTTTCCTTTTAAGTAAATTTAGGTTTTAGTCATAAAAAAAATTTCATTTTTGGAAAAAACCAAAGCTTTTTAAATAAAATAAAATAAAAAAAAACCTCTCAACTTTCAAATATGCAAATGTAAAGAATTCCTTAAGAAATCCAAAAATAAATAAGGGCAATTTTGTCCATTTTGGCTTTTTATAAAAATATCTCTCTCCTTTGGTCTTTTCCAAAGTCTCCCTTCTTTTTTTTCAAATTCTTTTTTTTTTCCATTTTTTTTTCCTTTCAGTCTTTTGAAGTCATTTTACAAATGGGTAAAATAAATGAGAAATAGGACATGTGATGGAAATAACATCACTCTAAAAAAAACCAACTGGCTCATCCACATGGTCATTAATAATATTTTTGATATAAACCTAAAAAATGGGCCTAAATTGATCCTACAGAACACGTGGATTTTCGTCTAAAAAAACACATGGATTTGCCAAATGAATGCTTGAGCTTTTGGATTAATATTTAATTTTCTATTCTTTGTAATTATTTTGGAATCAATCTCAAAACAAAATTATGAGTTGGGAAAGAATCGTATAACCCAAATGTTCAACGGACCAACAATACATTTTTTTTTTCTTCTGGATCTATAAATTGACTCAAGTATGCAGAACAAAAAATCAAAGCACAAATTCTCTCTCCTCAATCAATTACAGTTGATCTCAGAGGAAACTGGCTTGAATGAGAATTGTGTGTCCCAAGCATATTTGAAACTAATCTGAGAAAATGGTATAAGAGATGAGCCATTGTTGAGGAGACACTCATTCCCTGATTTGAGCAATGTCAAAGGGTTGACTTCGTCAGTCGTTTGAAATCCATTGCAGCCTAATTTCACATTCCCTTGAAGACATGGGCATGCATTCAGAACCTTCACCTCAAATTCTGGCTGTGCTTGCACCAAAACCCCAGTTTTGTCTTGGCTAATTTGCAGGTCATTTGTAGAGCACCTTTGGCTCATGCCTGTGATAAAAATAGATTGATAAATTATAATAAGAAATTATAAACCACAAAAGTTTAAGCGTACAAATATTATAAAATATTCAGTTTGGAACGTCAGATGTTGAACTGAGAGTGCTAAAATTGCCGAAGAAAAAATACTTCATTGTTTCTTACCTTTGCTAAGAAGGATGAGCAGGAGAATAGCTGAAAAGAGGTTGAGACTGGTACTTGCCATTGCACCTAGTTGCTGCCTCTCACTTTTGCCAAATTATGTGGTCTGATAATCGAACCCTCAGACACACACACACACACACACATATATATATATAATAACAAAATATTAACATGGTAAGAAATATTACAATTATTTTCTACTATTAGCTTAAACCAAATCAAGACCCATAAATAAATAAATAAAAAACTCTTTTTGTGGTGGTGCATTTGAAGAGTTTCTCCATAAAAACTATGATAAGAATTTACCATAATAAGTGAGAGAATAGAATTAAGTTTCCTATACCCACTTGAGGCGCAGGCTCCTATTAAATAAAAAATAAAAAATGATTTTTAATTTGATACTCGTTTACTTTCATGCCAGAGCAAAAAATACCCTTATTTTCTAGTTTCTATACAATAAAAAATTAAAGACCTTTATTAAATGATAGTTGACCATTAAGATCCCACATTGTATTTTTTTTTAAAGTAAAAAGGAGGAGGGAGGCTTTCTTACACACACATACTATCAAAGTGCCATGAGGGTGACAAATAAAGACCATTTTCCGCTCAACTAGACCCGTTGGCATCCCAATTTGTACTTGAAAACCATTTTTAATCCAAGGAAATTTGATTTTCAGTTTAGTACTAATTTTTGCCCATGGAGCATGTTTTTAACCCTTGTTTTCAATTTTAACATTTAACTAAAAACAGTTTTCACAATTACCTGCATTAATATGTAAGAGAAAAATAATAAAGATACAAATTAAAATGTGCATTTTAGGAAAACGCGCAGAGGAATTTCATTGCAGTTGCTGCCATTATTTGATCACAAAAAATACAAAATTCTACTACCAGAATGTTGAAGAAAAAAAAATAATTCAATTCAATGTACAAGGACTTGTAAACATCATAATGGTGCATAGACTTGTTAGGAGTGCTCTTCCTTATACACTTTGATTTATAATGTTTGTAATTGGAGTAAGGCGCCAAGTCCCTCTCATTTTTCCATTGATGATTAACATAAAATCATCGTACTGTTGAGGTTCTCTTAAGAAAAAAAACATCAATGCACAATCTGATTAGGATTTTTATTTTCTTTTTGGGGGTTTGTTCAGGATTGGGGTTAGGATTTTTATTTTCTTTTTGGAAAGACCTTTAAGAAACTGAAATTAAGAAATGGCTTCTGAAAAATTGCATTAAAAGGAGAGATGACAAAAACTTCCAAAAGCATGATTAATACATGATACCATGTGTTATTGTGATTTCCACCAGATAGAGAAATTGAAATCATTATCTACATTTCTGTTTGTGGGGTTTATCCCCCCTTGTTCATGAAAAAAAATAATATATATATATATATTATCTACATTGTTCATCATTGGTTGGACAATATCATGTTAGTTAAGTTAAGAATGGGGGGTTTTCTCACACACACACTGTCAAGATGCCATGAAAATTCGAACATGAGACCAATGATATGCAACTCAATGCGAAGCATACATGAATGCAGATTGACATATATAAATTGGTTTTTTTTTTTTAAATATATGTTGTAGTGTTAAGATTGATATTCTCTTTCTGATATTGAAACAAGTTTTAAGTTTGAATACACGAATGCAAATTAATAATCTGATACTATAACATGTTTAAAAAAGAGAATATTACTCACTTGTATCACAAAATTGAGCGCTTCTTATTCATTATAAAGGATACTAAATAATCCAAGTCCAAAATTTCAAACAATAATTTTCCTTGAAGAACAGCCAACATGAGAGTAGATTGGCTTAAAAGGAAACGAATTATCCCAAGCCTAGGTGAAACTAAAATTAGCATGAGTATCAATAGGTCCGCCATTATTGACAAGACACACGTTACCAAATTTGATCAACATGGTTTAGGGTTTAGAGAGGAGGATTCAAACTCAAGTGCATAATTAGGAACACATCCGTTCTAGCCAACTTGGCTAAGTCCATTTCTACTAGGTGAGACCAATCTTAATTATCAACTAAATGTTATATTAATCTAAAAGAACCCACACGATTATGGTTAAACAACAATATAATGCATAAACTACACAAGACACTACCAATTATTAGGTCATGCTATGAGCAAGACCGATAAGGAATAGTGACAAATATAAAGGTGAAACTTTACCTCCTACAATGAGACTGCAAAAGAAAACCAAGCAGAGAAACCTCACAATAGTTGCCATTAGGTTGGAGACAAACACCAAAATGTTCTTTCCTTTTTCTTGTTTTTATTTTTTTCTTGCCTGACCTTGATGTTGATAGTAAGGTTACATAAATCAAACCCAATTTATAAGGGCTTGTTTTATAATAAAAAGGTGAGAAAATAAATGCATGAATATGTAATTTTCTTTTTGTCAAAACCTTATCTGATATAGAGGGTATATTACAGCAAATGGATACAAATGGTAAGTCATTGTTTAGAAAGAAGATGTAGTCAATGCAATGGAATGATGTGGTCAACCACAATTAGATATCGACTTCACCATAAATATGTATTGTTTTTGTATTCATGTGAGTCGAATCTGAGACATTTTACAAGTAAGTGGAGACAATTACTATTAGACGAAAAACCACTAAATTCCTTTTCAATTGTTTGAGTATATTGTTAGCATTCGTTTCAACTCAAATAATACTTAATAAATTTCAAATTCATAATATTCCATTGTATATAGTTATTTCTATTTTGTTTTAAATACATTATATTCTTTTAGGACATCCAATTGAGAAGGGCAATAATATACTAAACTTATACACACAATATGAATGCTAGGAGTCAAATTCAAGATCTTGCATGAGAGAGTAATTACTTCAAACCACTACACTAGTGGGTTCTTTACGAAATACATTATATTTAAGTAAGTGATATTGGACCCCAATCCTCATAACCTGGATCGTCCAGTTACACTCTTGTTCGAAAATCAACTCCCTACATTTGAAGTTACATTATATTGTTGCCCAAATTCAGGCACTTATTTTTCATAGAAAATAAACTCAAACAAAACCATCCAAATCCAAAACTCTTCAAACAAACATCATTTTCAAGAACAACCAACTTGGGAGTGGACTGGCTTGAAGGAAAACGAATTGTCCCAAGCATAGTTGAAATTGAAATCCGTGTTAGGATAGATAGGTTGACCATTATTGACTAGACACTCGCTGCCAGATTTGCTCAAGATTGAAGAGTCAATGTCTTCCACAGTTTGAAATGCATCGCAGCTTAGCTTAACATCCAGTTGAGAACATGGGCAATCATTAGTGATTTTCACATTCCACTCTGGCTTATTTTGCACCATTTTACCGGTTTTTGACTGTGTAATTTTAAGATTTTGTTCAGTGCAAGGTTGACAGTTGCCTGCAATATATCAAGAAACACGTAAGTCAGTAAGTATAATTTGCCCCTAAAATAACTACACAAATATGGAGATGAAGCTTTACCTCCTACAATGAGACTGCAAAGGAAAACAACGCAGACTAAGTTCATGGTAGTTGCCATTGGGTTGAAGATAAACAGTAGAATGTTCTTTTTTCTCTCCGGCCCTGTTGAATGATGAAAAAGTTACAAAAATCTGACCCAATTTATAAGGAGTGGAGTGTTGTTTCACCGTGCCTATTTCCCCACCCACCACATAAATTTGAAAACACACAATCCTCTCTTTTCATCCACTATTATTTCTAAAATACCATTCAAGCAAATTCTCTTTACTAATAATTCGTAGTTGAGAGATGGAGAGGATCAAGCAAATTCTCTTTCCTAAAATAAAAAATAAAAAAGAAGTAAATAATCTGTTTAATTTAGGTAAGGAGACACACTACCTAAAAGTCCAATCCATTTAACATAGTCTGTTTAATTTGCTTGAATTATTAAAGGGTTTTTTTTAGAAATAATGGTGGGTGGAAAGATACGTTTGTGTTTTTTCAAATTTACATGGTAGGTGGGAAGATAAGATGGGTGGGAAAATAGGACAGATGGTGGAAATAACAGCACTCTAATATAATCGATGATTACAGAAATATAAGGTAAATTATTTGATTTAATGACAAATGGGCGGTAATTAGGCCACATGCATTGGTAAAATATAAATGCGGCATTGTATAGAAAGAAAGAAAACGTAAGAATACATTAATCTCACCAATGCAACATGATAAGGAGATGTTATTCACGTCTCAAAGAAATAATTATGCATTTCATCAGGTGAAATTTCCCCCTTTTGATTTCACTCTTGTTGTAGGATGTCATGCCTCCCGAACCGTATAGAATATCCCAACTCCAAACCGTGAATTCTAAACTTGAAACCCCAAACCCTAGACACATGATCCCGAGCCTAAGGCCCTTTAAGCCTGAACTCCCAATCTGGGCCTAAAAACATAGACCTCAGACTTTTAGGCCCGTCGTAGACAATGGATCCCAAACCAACCCTGAAACTTAACCCTATCCCAAACTCAAATTAATGACTTTTCATTTTCGTCGGGCGTTATGTCCTATCATTTAGAAAGGGGTTCATTTAGATGGGACCTTTGTTTAATAACTAACTGATTACCCATCCATCATTGTTAGAGCCTTTGACCAAATGAAGGGTTACCCAGGTTGTACCTAAAGGATTGGAGGAGGGAGGACCTACCTCCCCTGAAGACTACCAAACGCAATAGAGATTCACCTGCCTTGGTTGCCTATTTGATCTCAAACAGAAAAGCATCTCATAATTGATTATGAAAGTAGCTTGTAATTAGAGCTATTGAATATTCAGACGAAATGGCTGGAAAAATTGTTGCATAATTGTTTTATATTTTTGCCCAAGTTAGGAAGGAAGAGGAAAGTTTTTACGCACACTAACAAAATACCATGAGATTCGAACTTGAAACCACTTGTTTGCAAGTTAAGATCCACTTTCACCGGGCTACATCCCGTCGGCATTGTTGCTTAATTTATTGGTTTTTATATAAGAGCCGTCAAAAGCGACTAGAAAGAGACCCTTGCCGCCGTTGCTGCCACACAAAAATTTCTCCCTCCTTTAGTGGGTTTGGTGATGACGTGATGCTTCCAATATCTTCCAAATTTTGTTTTCTTTGTTTTTTTGTTCAACGAAATTTCCTTGGTACTTTTGTTTAAACACAATTTACTCAAACTTTTCAAATATTTCTGTATTTTCAGACTCTCTTGAGATCTTCGCCAAAATAAATATTTAATACCTTGAGTTTTGTTTAGTTGTTTTTTCTTTTATCTTTTATGCTTCATAGACTAACTAAAGTGTGACTTTATTGAAAGCGAAAATGAGTGCCTCACTCACTCACAAGCTTCCCCAGTAGTATCTTCCCATCCTTTATAGTACCTATCCACTCTCTGTCACTACCAACTTTACAAATTTACAACCAATGCCAATCCAATCCCACCATTAAAACCAAGCCTGCAGAACTTGCTAGGCCTCCTCATCACAAACCAATACAGGGACACAGAGAGAGCACAGGATTTTTTTGCTAATTTTTTTTTTCTTGGTTGCATGTGTGAAATAATGCGTTCTCTGATGATTATATCATTGCTTTGCTATTGGGTGTACATGGCAACTCACAGCCATAAGTCATCAATCTCTGTCTCTTCACAGAGCACTGAAGGAACCCTTTTTGTCAATGGAACAGCTGCTATTGGTTTTATAGATGATGACTTTGTCTGTGCCACAATTGATTGGTGGCCTCCTCAGAAATGTGACTATGGAACTTGTAGCTGGGGCTCTGCTTCTCTTCTTAATCTTGTAAGCCGGCAGCTTCCCCAAAATTTTCTTTTTTTAATCCTCAAAATATCATCAAGGCATATTCAATCCAATAGAGGTCTTATTTTGCTTTTTTCTCTTTTTTGTTGTTGGGTTTAATCTCCTAATCTTCATATTATTGCACAACTAAATTTACGTTAAGGGGAGTTTTCATTTCAATCCATAGCTTGATTTGATGTTGTTGTTAAACCTTTCCCTTAAAGTGTCAAACCACCCAACTCTTGTAAATCCCACTTTTCAGTTTGACCCTGTAAGTTGAAGAGCATGTAGATAGCAGCTATTCCATTGACAAAGAAAAAGATAGCATTTTGGTTACCATTTTGTCAAGAGCATGACTTGGCTCCTTAAGATTGAGGAGCTCCTCCTTAAAACCAATCGGATTTTGATGCTGGTTGAATTTCAGCGACATTGACAAAGTTTCAACAAAAAAGTAAAAAGAATATTAAAATTATCTAACATGTACGTCAAAACCACATTGGCCGTAAGGAGGAACTCCTCCTCAATCTTAAGGAGCCAAGCTTTTTCCTTGTCGACTAGTATTATTGATTATTGAAATATTCCAAAGATTCTATTCTCAACATGGAATTAAAACTTTTAATCAAGATGATGCTTATCTACATGCATCTTTTTCTAATTTCAGAAGTATATTATTTGTTTATTCTAATAGTATTTCCTTGTTTTTTTCTTTGGTTTTTGGTAGGATCTTGACAATGCCATACTTCTGAATGCTATAAAAGGTAAAGGAGTCATTTTCTTGAACTCATAACAACCACACACACACAAACGACTATACATAATCCATAACAGTCTTAACAAAGCTCTCCCCTTTATTTTATTGCAGCATTTTCACCCTTGAAAATTAGGCTGGGCGGCACCTTGCAAGACAAAGTCATATACCAGACAGAAGAAAGCCAACAACCCTCTACCTCATTTCTCAAAGATGGTTCAGAGTTGTTTGGTTTCACTCAAGGTTACTTACCAATGTCTAGATGGGACCAACTAAATATTTTCTTCAACAAAACTGGGTAAATATTCCACTTATTATATGCCCTGATGAACGTATTATATATAAACCGTGGGCAATGTTCTCTTACGGACTCATGTTGCCAAAAAAATGCTTATTCCGCTAGACAATCTGACAAGAGAATGTTTTCCCGTAAACCGTCATGATAATTTGCTTCTAAAACAGGGCTGTTGTGATATTTGGTTTGAATGCACTGAGAGGCAGGACAATAAACTCCCAAGGAGCTGCTGTGGGTGCTTGGAACTCAAGCAATGCTGAGTCCCTAATAAGATATACAGTCAAAAGGGGATACAGAATCCATGGTTGGGAGCTTGGTAAGAACTTGAACACATGAGAATATAAGCCATGCTTGGAAATTAAGTTAACAAAGTAGAGCTGGCTGCTTATGATCAGGAAATGAACTGAGTGGGAATGGAGTTGGAACAAGAGTTGCTGCAGGCCAATATGCATCAGACACAAAATCTCTCCAAAGCATAGTGCAAAATGTTTATGCAGGTTTTGAAGCTAAGCCACAAGTCTTGGCACCAGGAGGGTTCTTTGATGAAAATTGGTTCACAGAGTTTATTCATAAAACACCTCAATCTCTTCAAGTAGTCACCCACCACATATACAACCTTGGTCCAGGTAAATTAACTCTGAAGCCAATTACCTTGGTCTTGGTTCAAATGTTTTTAAGCAATTTCATTTCATTTGAATAACACTTGCCTTTTTTCCATGCTCATATTAATTAAAGGTAGTGCTGGAGATCTTATTCAAAAGATTCTAGACCCATCTGTTCTTGATGGTATTTCCCAGACCTTCAAAAGCCTACAAAGCCTTCTTGAGAAATCAAACACACCAGCAGTGGCATGGGTTGGTGAATCAGGAGGTGCTTACAACAGTGGCCATAATCTTGTAACAAATGCATTTGTGTTTAGCTTCTGGTAATTAAGCTTGCCATCCCAATTGTTTTCTTCTTCTACTTCTTCTATCTAAACATTTTGATCAACAGAGGTTGTGCATTTTTCCCACTAACCAAACAGGTACCTGGACCAGCTTGGAATGTCAGCATCTTATGATACCAAAACATATTGCAGACAAACATTGATTGGTGGCAATTATGGCCTCCTTGACACTAACACCTTCGTACCGAATCCGGATTACTACAGGTTAGTACATATAGATCATGAAGACCAAGAACACTCCTAATGATCTCTCTTTCAAAGAAAGAAACCAAACCCATGTCACAAATGTATGTGTTTTTTTACAGTGCTCTTCTTTGGCATCGTTTGATGGGAAATAAGGTCTTGTCTACAAGCTTCCCTGGGACAAAGAAACTACGTGCTTATGCTCATTGTTCAAAGAAGACGGTAAGTAAAAAATGGAAAAAATTTCACATGAAGTAATAAAAAGATTATGCTTAATTAGCTAATCCATTAAGCTTAATTTCATGATTAATTCATGCAGCAGGGAATCACAGTGCTCCTCATCAACCTAGACAGTAACACTAAAGTTCAAGTCCGAGTTTCGACTGAAAGTCCTGGCAGGCTCAGTTATCTGAATTTTCAAGGCCTGCGGGGTTCCAAAGGTAGCCAGAATGTGAGAGAGGAATACCACCTAACAGCTAAAGATGGGGACTTGCACAGTAAAGTAATGCTTCTAAATGGGAAAGCACTAAGTGTAGATTCATCTGGGAACATCCCAGCCTTGGAACCAATAACAGTAGGGTCATCAGATCCCATAACCGTGGCACCTTTCTCTATTGTATTTGTTCACATTCCCAGCATAATTGTGCCGGCTTGTAAGTAGGGTTTTATTGTCTAGTTGGTGGGATTTGGGGTTCATATCAAAGGCTTGTCAACCTTCTTATCTTATCCTAAAGATGGAAAGAGAAATAAATTGAAAAATTGAAAATTCAGAAGAGGCAAGCACATTAGAGTTAGAGTTTGGAAAGCCAAAATTGCATACCAGGCAACAATAAGGCCTCCTTCTTAACGGGTGAAATGCATGTATTTTTTATATCAAGATGTTACTTTCTCATCACTTTCATCAATCTATGAGTACTAAAAAGGTCTTAAAAAGTTTGTTGTAAGTCTCAAGTTTGATCCACAAGATACCGGGAGACGGTTATACTGGCACGATGATTCAAATAATGACAAATTCCCAAGTCATCACTTTTCTGTGTGAAACTATCAATTGTCGATCTGTGAGTCACACATGCATCAACGGCTGACAGTTGTCCATGTAATTATGTAAACCAAAGTTTAACTTTTAGAGTGAAAGCCTAATAATAAATAAAACCGAGTGATATACATTTTTTAAAAACAAAAGGAGACAGAAAAATAAAACCGAGTGTTAACTATTTCAAGTAAAAAAATGGAGAGATGTAATATAACTTGTATAAAGTTTGGATTTGGTAGAATATATGAGAAAATAAAATAAAATATTTATGAAATGGAGGCAAAGCCTTGGAAAGCCCAAACAAAATGGCCCGCTTATTTATTTGTAGATAAAGCGCTAACAGAGTCTATCGCAGAAAACGTTCAGTGACAGAGAGAGCAAGATGAGCACTCTGCTCAAGTTCTACAGACCCTTGTTCTCGATCCCCTACTCCACTCGGACGGTTCAACTCGGAACTCACCGTTTTCATAGCTTGTTCAAGCCCAAAAGGAGAATTCGTTGCGTGAGTACTTCAAGCCACTCTCAGCCGTCGATTGGGGTAGGTGGTAAATGGGCCAAAACTGAAGGGAAGGTGGGCATGTATGTTTGTGGAGTAACAGCCTATGACCTCAGCCATATCGGCCATGCTCGGGTCTATGTTACCTTCGATGTTCTGTACAGGTCCATCTCTCTTGTATTTGTGTGTTTTCTTCATTTGGGTTTTTGTTAATGCTGATTTGAGACTCGTTTTGAAAAATAGGCAGATATCTTAGGCATTTGGGATATCAAGTCACTTATGTTCGGAACTTCACAGATGTTGATGACAAAGTAAGTTTCTTTGCTTTGTTTAACTGTTTCCAGTTTTCACGCTTCAAACTTGGGTGATGGGTTTTCTTTTTTCTTTTAAATGATATCTTTGTTGTGTTTCATGGGATTTATTCATTCACATTGTACAACTGAATTTCCCTGCTGCTAGGGTTATCAGTAGTTTTATGCATCATGTTCTGTTGTTTATTGTATTCCCGGATTATTTCTAAGTTTGGTTGGTAGTTCTTAAGTGTATTGATACAGCTTGATGAATTTGTGTTACAAAAGTTGGATGCCAAGTGCCCATTACTTTCCACATTGGCATGACAGGATACCTGAGTCTGCACTTTTCAAATTCTGTAGATAATTGCTAGAGCAAAGGAGTTGGGGGAGGATCCAATCAGTTTGAGCAGACGATACTGTGAGGAGTTCAATCGAGATATGGTCTATCTTCATTGCCTGCCTCCTTCTGTGGAACCACGAGTGTCCGATCATATGCCACAGATCCTTGATATGATAAAGCAGGTACTCTTTTCCACCCGTATTTCAAAATCTATTGAAAGTATCACGTTTAGGCTTTTAGCACCTTGTGTCCTGGCACAAAGAGTATGCAGTCTTATAGGATTGAACTGGATAGTTTGCCAAGTTTGGAGATCATAGAAGTACAACTGTTTATGTTATGATGCATATTTATTAGACACATCACAAATGCTTCTGTTCTCATGATTTACATTTAACTCTCTCTCACACCCATTTCTTGATGCGCTCCCTGAGCAGATTATTGAAAATGGATATGCCTACATCGTTGATGGGGATGTGTACTTCAGTGTCGAAAAGTTCCCAGATTATGGACGTCTATCTGGGCGAAAATTAGAAGATAATCGAGCTGGTGAGCGGGTTGCTGTTGATTCAAGGAAGAAACATCCTGCTGATTTTGCCCTGTGGAAGGTAGTGTCTGTAATAACTATCAGAAAAATGATGGCAAATTTGACATTGTATTTTCATCGATAAAGCTGCCTGGCTCTTAGCTGATTCATGTTCTTACTATAAAGCATTCTAACTTGTTTGTTTACATGCATACACAATGACATATGCAACATGTTGTATAACACGGTTGGGTGGGATGTTGATTTTATGGTAATGTTTTAATGTTTACAGACTGCAAAGGAAGGAGAACCCTTCTGGGACAGTCCATGGGGTCCTGGTAGACCTGGATGGCATATTGAGTGCAGTGCTATGAGTGCTGCTTATCTGGGTTACTCTTTTGACATACATGGTGGAGGGATGGACCTTGTGTTTCCCCACCACGAGAATGAAATTGCTCAGAGTTGTGCTGTGTGTAACCACAGTAATATAAGCTACTGGATACACAATGGTTTTGTCACTGTTGACTCAGAGAAAATGTCCAAATCCCTTGGAAACTTTTTCACAATTCGGCAGGTAAAAGGCTTCCATTCTGCTTAAAGTGGTCACATTTTTTTTTTCGTTCTTTTTCATTTTTTGGCACATGCCTTTGTCATGGGTCAGTGAGCTTTAAGAATCGAAGTCTTATCTGACTTTTCCTTTTGTTGTAAATGTTGGATCTTGCAGGTTATAGACCTTTACCATCCCCTGGCTTTGCGACTTTTCTTGTTAGGGACCCACTATCAGTCTCCAATCAACTACTCTGATGTGCAGCTTGAAAGTGCTTCAGATCGGATTTTCTACATTTATCAGGTACCATAGTATCCTACTTCTCTGCAGATGGAAGAAGCCTGTCTCTCCTGTCTCTCCCTTCCTTCCTCCCAGCCAACACCACACAGACACATGAATGTAAAGACATCACATATGCAAAATGCTGAGTGAAATACCTGAACTTGTGTGTTTTCTTTTTAGCTGGAGAAACACCTGAACTTTGTGGATCACATTTGTTAATTTTTGTCTAGTCTAATCTGCTGGGGTTCAGGTCAATCTGTCTGCTTTGGGTCATTGATGGAATCTGTAGTTTTATATATGTGAATATTTTGTTTTAGATGCCAGTAGGATTTAAAAAATGTTGAGAACTTTTTAAATTGTTTATATACTTGAGGTTTTTTTCCCGGATCTAGAGATGTCTTATTATCTATTCATATATTGATTCCATTTTGCTTTTTTGATCAAATTTATTCTTGTTGCAGACGTTACATGATTGTGAAAGTGCACTAAGCCAGCATGATGTGGTTACCCTGAAAGATACCATCCCACCTGATACAGTGAACAGCATCAATAACTTCTATAATGTTTTTGTAACATCAATGTCAGATGATCTTCACACACCTGTTGTTTTGGCTGCACTATCAGACCCATTAAAAACTATTAATGATCTGCTACATACTCGTAAGGTATTGGGTCATACTCATTAAGTTTAATATGATTATAATTAACTGAACGTGGCATACAGCATTTTAGAAACTCTTTATGTTTAGGATGTGATGTAGATTTTGGTTTGCAGTACAAATACGTTTAGGATTAGTTTTGTTTACATATCAAATAAGGATTCAAAGGTTATTGAACCCAAGCATCTCTTGAGTTAGAATAAACAGAAATTTGTAAATCAATGTGTTCAACCTTTATGGAGAAAAAGTGTTGAACCTAGGAACCAAAAAAACAAAAAAGTTGCTAACATGGTAATAGTAGTTTGAGAATTCTGACTCTCTGGTTCTTCTCCCAGCTGTATAAACATGATCGTCTTTCTCACTAATGATATAAGTACTCTGGTTTTCTTTTTATTTCTCCAAATTTCTTGAGCTCTGTATTGTCTGTACTTTATAAATTTACACAGGGGAAGAAGCAAGAATTGCGGATAGAGTCGCTTGCAGCTTTTGGGAAGATACTTGGGAATGTTTTGAGCACTTTAGGATTGATGCCTGAAAGTTACTTTGAGGTATGGAAGTTGTGTCGATACTACTACTCATTTCATTATGAGTTTATGACATTTTTTTTAATAGCATTTTACTAGAAATTTACCATAAAAGTGACTACATATTCATATATTTGTATAATATACTTTGATTCCTGGACAAAAGTTGACCCCTTTTCCGAAAAGTATGGGAACCTTACATGATAAAAAAAGAATCAATCCCAATAAGCGTCATGGACACTGAAATCTGAAAACCCTTTATTCAATTATTTTTCTTGTTCAATAAGGTTTATTATAGGAGATAAAAACTTATTTATGCTGCAGATTCTGCAGCAGCTGAGGGATAAGGCCTTGAAGCGTGCAAAGTTAACAGAAGATCAAGTATTGCAAAAAATTGATGAAAGAACTGCAGCAAGGAAGAACAAGGAGTATGAAAGATCAGATATAATCAGGAAAGACTTAGCTGCTGTGGGGATTGCTCTAATGGACAGCCCAGATGGGACAACATGGAGACCAGCCGTACCTCTTGCAATTCAAGAGCAGCAGCTTTCAATAACTTAAATAGCTCCTGCTATCAGCATTGTTACAATTTTCCAGTATCATACCATATAGGATTAGGGTACTTACAATTTTCTTTCCTTAAGCGATTCTTAAAAATAGGTTTTGGGTTTCCAAATGTAATGATAGAAAAAAGTAAATTCAAGCTCAGGTTTGATAACCATGAGAAGAAATTTGATTGACCATTGATGAAGTTTTGGCGGCCATGTCTGGTTCCCCAATTTTTTAGCTTGTCAATGAATGGTTTTCGGCTTTATCAACTCAGTTTACATATTTCCTTATCTGCTGATGCGTTTGAAATCAATGTTGTGAAACTTTAGATGTCTGTAAATACAATTTTGGGAATCTGGATACAGTAAATAGAGGAGCTACAAGACCAATCAGCCCAACAGTAATGCCCTCTCTTTTAACACCAGAGCAACGGCTGCACGGAAATAGAGGGTTGAAGGGAGAAGCTTTAATATTGTTGACTATGTAAAACAAATAACATATCCAATTCATCCAAAAGTATCCAAGCTATCACCCAATGCAGTGGGCGGTCTAGTCAATCCGTTAACACTTGACTAAAAATGAAAAGAAAACTTCTAGCCGATCTTCACATATAAAAGAATGATGTTGCAAATCCTTTGCAACCTTCACAGCACCTTAGTGGAGCATGGATATGGCCATCATGCTCTGAACATTGTTTTGATGCTTCGGCAAAACTTGCATGACCAGAATAATTTCTCTTCGAACAAAAGATTATATCCCCTTGATCAAGTCAAAGAACACACCTTGTCTGGAAAATTGGAAGGGTTAAATGGAAATTGTCAACACAAGTTGCATCCATCAAGTCAAACATAACCAAAAGACCTAAACCTTAAGGGAATTCTTTTCTTTTTTCATAAATATTTTTTCTTTGGGGAGCGGGGTTTAAATCAATTTAAAGTGTCTTTGCTTTCTATTTTAGTATTTTCTTTCAAGCTAGAAGACCCAAAAACATCTGTACATTTTTTTATTTTCCCGTAATCCAATTTACGAAAATGAGGTAACTTCAGTGAGCAAGACGTGGGAGGTTTTTATTTTTTTATTTTTTGATAAAAACAACACAAAGAATAGAGTAAATTTACCTTGTCTAATGCTACCACAACAAAGGCGGTTGTCATCTATATACGTGGCTTGGATACCCATCATCCATGAACCCACTGATACATCATCATGAGCATAAGTCTTCAAAGATGCACTGCATATGAAAGTAAACAGAAATGAGACCTTGATTTATTAACAGGATAATGAAATGCATAAATAAGTCTAACAAATTCATTCTCATAGCTTGATAGCTTATAACGACATTTATATCCAAATGAAAATCTGTTTATAACATTCACAACAAACCTGTTTATGTTTATATACTGAGCTAAGTTCTTGGATAGTATTATGAGTGAACTACCTGCATGACGGAAATACCTGGAAGGGAAAAAAAATTTGTGGAAATGATAACCAACTCTGAAAATATTAGCAACTAGACCAGTCCAGACATGACATGACTCTATAAAATATAGAGGCAAAACAGTATCCTGGAACATGCATTACATACAAAACACACACACGCACATACAAAAGGCCCTAGTGAGTAGCAAATCTTTGGCCATCAGATTCTTTCGATGACCATGATTAAAAACTCAAATGACCTCCCTATTTAAACTCTTTACTAGAGCGGGATTGTGTGTGTTCACAGAGTCTGTATCAAGTTATCAACACAGCATACAGCATGCAATGCCCGTTAGATGCTGTTTTATTCAGTAGATTCAATCACTTACGATTTCTGATCCCCAAATTTCCACCAGTCAGGCTCATACCAAGCCTTTCCCCTGCAAATCGAAACATTTTCAAAGTCAAAAGCTGCATCGTAGTAACCCTATCAGCCTCAAGCTCTGCAAATAAAATTGGAAAAGTACGATCAAATTGCACAGAGGTGTACGATAGTAAAGTACATACTCTTCAGAAATCACATCTCCTGACTTCATGCAACCAATATAAGCACCATCTTGAGCACGACGATGTTCAAGAAGTCCAATTAGCCCCTCTGTGTTAGGTCAGGAAAAACTGTTGTAAATGATGTACAAAAATTTTCTGATAAAATTTAGTCTTGAATGCTCTCACAAATTTATAGGAAGCGAAGCTCTACCAAGATCAAGATTGATATTGTCATCGACTTTGACATAAAACTCAGCATCCCAATTTTGAACTGCAGTACTGAAGAAGAACTTTACTTTTTTGGTCAACTCTTCTTGAGCCTCCTCATGACCTTCCTGATATAATAATAGTACATATTCAAACTCTATATTTTCCACAATCATAAAATCTTAAGTCATCCATATATAAGAGGTAACCTGCAACTACAAAAATGCTGAAATTTTGGTTTATTACAAATTATGAAGATAATACAATAAAAGCCAAATCATCAAATATCTATCACTTCGATTATGCATAAAAAAATTCAGAATTTTGAAATATATTTTAGTTATAAAAAATTCCGAAGATATTTAAATTGTTTTATGAATAACATATCATTATATTACAGTTTTTTAACTACCATAATACGTGTAAAGCCTGGGGTAAAATATTGAACCAGATGTATTTTAATAACACTGAGATTTTATTGCTTACAAGAATCAAGAAATCCTTTGTCGACCGACTTTCCTTATCAATATTGCGATCTAAGCTATCACCCTGATTGGGACTGCAAGTTCAAAGCGAAAAAATTATGAGAAGAGTGTCTCCATAGTAACTACCACAGTTAAAACAGTTACACTAGTACTAATATTGGGATTGAAGTGCGAGAAAAAACCTCCGACCAATTACAAAGCGTATGACTACTCCTCTTTCTTCTAGTTTTCTCAAAGCATCACCTGCATACATTGAGTGTAAGTATTAAGACCGATCAACAGTTCATCTGAATTCAAGCCATGCACACATTGTAAATCTGCATACGTTTCAATCAGAAATCCCAACTGACCTTTAGGCATCCAAGACCCTCTAAACATATTTCGGTTCAAATGACTACCAAATCCAGTATAAACTCCAATAACAGCGAGCAATTGGCCAGAAGAAGACACCTTTTGTTGCAAGTGATTCTTGAGGTACCCTTGACTCTTGGCCAACGTCAGGTCCATCTCAGCTTCCACAATCCTCCTCTCCAGGTCTCTGAACAACACTACCATTAATACAAAACTAATACAAGGCACAACTCAAGTAATCTGATTCGAGGGAAACAAAAAGTAGGAGCATACTTGCATCCAAGGACCGCTAACTTGTCTTCAACTGAAAGAACCTTTGGTCTCTGACAGATGGACAGAAACATCACTAAAGTTAAATTGAATTCAAACAGGCATTATAAATTGTCACCATATGTCATTTTGGTTGTTGGGTTAACTTAGAAAATGGAAATTGAACAAGAAATTTGAGTCTTGCACATTCTTTTCTTACCTAGAAATTGCTAACTGAGCTGAATCAATGTCTTCCTAGGTCTAATGGTACAAAAATAAATAAATAAAAGTCTCAAATAAAAAGGTTTGAATGGAACCTGGCCTAAGTTCTTCTTAAGAAGATTTGCGAGTACTGTTCTGTTCTCTGCATCTTGCCACAACCTGGATGTCCCAAATAACAAGTCATCAACTTTATAATAACCATGCATTCTTAAAATGCTATCAAATCATCAAATTGCATCAGATCAAACAGAAAGCTGAGAAATTGAAACTCTACGTTTCAAATTAACCATGGCATTGGATTAAAAATTAAAGCTGAAAGTTCATTTTTGAAATATTTCGTAGGCAATTAAGAACGCACCGGCCAGCGACGTAGAGCCAAGCGACGCAAGAGAAGAAGGCCATTAGGATAGATGGCTTGGACGTCTGAAGAGGCTTCGATCTCCATCGCCTCTCTGATTTCGTCGTTGTGTGTAAGCCTTCCATCTCAATTCTGAAGCAGTAGAGAGAGAAAGAGCAGTGCAATAGAGGACACGAAATTTGTAGATGCAATTTAGTGCCTGATTCAGACCGAAATTATGAAACTAACATATTAGATTAAGCTGAAAATGGTAAGGAATCTGAAATCCAGATACTAATTGAAGACCAAAACAAAAACTTTGAATTTTCAGAGAGAGAGAGAGAGATTTAATGGAGCGGTTACTTTCTAGGCCCAACTAGTTAAAGGTCCTGGTTTTCTGTGAATATTGGGCCTCCAAATTTTATGGATTTGAAAATGTTTGCTGGTTTCCTAGGCGAGACCGAACTATATCAAATTAATTAGGGTTTAGTTCGATTAGGTTCTTTGATATAAGCAATATTGAGAAATATTGAGAATGAGGGAAATTGAATTAAGACATCAAGAGCATGATAAATGCTCTTAATCACTTGAGCTACAAACTCTTGTAAACGAAGGGCTCGACCAAACTAAACCAAGCATATTAATTTGATTTGAACGGCTCGACCAATTTTTTGCTCACACCCACCATGTAAAAACTAAAGCAAAAAAATGTAGAACTCTATATGTTTTTTTAACATACTAACGTATATCCTTTTATGGTTGATTTTTGAGAAAGGAATTCAAGTTGAAGAATGATTTTTTTTTTCCTTCTCTTGTCACCATTGATTATGGTTTGAATATGCAATCATAAATCAGAATTAAGATAACATACTAGACATCTGCCAAAAATTATTTTCATTGAATTGCAAGTCTCAATAAGCAAACAAAAACTAATACACTGTTAATCACGGCCGGCTGGTTGTCAGCATCACAACCCAATCAGATGATAGACACCTAAATCCCCAAATGTTTACATCAATGTAAAACTACATTATCAATACATAACTTTAAAAAGAAAAAAATGCATTGCTAGCATTGTAACATCAGGCTCTAAGCCAAAAAATAAAAACAAAAATTTATAAATAAATAAAGAGAGAGAGAGAGTGAGAGAGAGAGAGAGTGAGAGAGAGAGAGAGAGAGAGAAGTACGGCATCTCGTAATCTTTCTTAACCATAATGATACACAATCTCTCAGCTCCTGAGCAGGAAAACAGAAGTCCACCTGAAGAGGAGGTTGATACTTCTCCATTTCAGTTTTTAACTCCTCGCAGCACCAGGTAACAAGTTCGCTAGCGATGGAACCCCTTGGTTTCTCATTTCTTCTTGTGTCCGCCTCATTTCTTCAGGATCTGTCGTCAACATAAAATAATTGATTGAGTAACTCTGACAATGCGGGGATCAATAAGCATATTTAGTCAAAAGACTGGCATGAGAATGAAGGGCATGTGTAATATCAACACAAATGTGATTCTTTTGAACAAATGCACCATAGGAGGTGATAAAACCGTAAGTGATCCACATACAGATGAAAAACAACAATTCAATGGTAACAACCAAGTGTTTATAAATTTGTGTACACTAAGGAGTAAAAATTCAAAATTTACATGTCCAAGTCAGAAAAAATATGGACAGAAATAGTGTATGTATAAAAAGAGAATAGGATGCCGTCCCCATGAGTCATTTTGATGCAAGTAAATCTAAAGTAAACCAGAGTCTCAGGGCCATGGACAAACAATTTAAAACATATACCAAGCATAGATCACTTACCCATGTTCTCCACTAACTTCGGCATCAGAAACACAACTACTACCATAAATCCAACCATCAGACCCATTGGGCTCTTTACAAGAGACATTATGGAGAAGGGTTCCCTTATCTGTAATGAGATAAACATGACATGAGGTCAAAAATCCATAATGGTACAGAAATAGTGAATGTATAAAAAAGAATGTGAAAATCTAAACCAACCTCATAATACTGTTCCTCTCTCAATGGCTCTAAAACAAACTCATTTAGGCCCCTCCTATTTTCAGTCAGCGCTGCCTGAACCTTGCCCGGGTTTCTGGCACTAACATCAACTCGGACCTACGCAAGCATTGGAATATCAGATTTGTGATCATTTCATTTCAAAAAGTATAAAAGAGTTAATTTATAGATACAAGAATCTCACCGGAGAAAAGAAATAGCCTATTGCAGTCACTTCAATCAGATGAGTCCCCGCAGGCACATTATGGCTTTAAGCAAACACATTAAGGAAATATATTGTGCGCCCAGTAATTGGCATTTCATTTCATGAAGACATACTATAGTATATGCAATACATAAACATAAAGGCTGACACAAAAGATGGTATCACAAATGAACTTATCATAAGAACGGAAATAGGATACAATGAAAAAAATCCATCAGGCCTCAGAAAGGTAACACTTTGACCAGCATTTAGTATGACTTTGACATTTGATGTTTTTTGGTAAAGGCCATACCCTTTTGCCCCCATACCTGCGGAGCAAATTCGTCAATAACGGGCATGAGCTATGCGGTTATATTATAGATGAGAGAGACATGATGAATGAACTAAATAGCAGAATGCAACCATTAAAGATTTTTTTTTCTTGGACTTAAAAAAATAGTGTATCGAATGAATATTAGTGATTGAAAAGTAGAGGGTAATCCGGACTAACCCACCTAGAGCAAAGCACCAAAAAAAAATGAGCTAGTTCTCACTGATCAAATCAGGGTAAAACTCCTTAAGTCCACACATAAACTGATTAATTTAACCACAGAAGCAGCCCTATTCCACAAGCCCTAATCAGATTTGACATGTATCCAGACGTCCCAACACAAAAAAGCAATTAAAGTCAAAGTATTGCACAGCTTAAACCTTCATTTTCCATTCAAATTCTCGATTTAAAGTAGTTTATCGATTGATTGACATGGAAAATTCACCATAACTGAATACAAGATTGAAACTTTGCCATTAAAAACAATCAACAAGAAGCTAATTTCACTTGAAATACATACTGTGGATCTTCACTCGACCATGGATGGTGTACCCATCAGCAGACCTGCAACAAATCATTTGAGCAGAAACATAAAAGAAATTAATTTCAAAATCGTCGATGCATCGTTTGGGTAAAGAGAAGAACTTTTCAATCTTACCCGGGAGAAATTCCGAGCGACGAAGAGATAAGCGAAAAGCAGAGCTGTATGAAAAGCACGAGAATCACCGGTTTGGATCGCCAGCACCGCGCCATAACAACAATGAAAGAGCTTCTGCGAGAGTTTCAGAGTGAGAGAGAGACTTGTTTGTTCGAAGAGTTTTGCGCGATCTGGTGTTACGCACTTGGGTAGATTATTGTAGTAGAAGCCAAATCAGGCCCGTATCGTATTCTGATTCAATTCGGTTTTGTTTTATTTTTATTTTAAATTACTAATTAAACGAATTTTTTTGGGCAATGATTTCCCCACTCTTATTTTATCCACTTACACTTTTTTTTAGTTATAAAAAAAAGAGTGTAAGTGGATAAAATAGGAGAAAAAGGAGTGGGGAAATCACCACTCATTTTTTTTTTAACTGAACGAAACGAATTGCTAAGGTTTGTTTGAGTAGGCCTATAAGCATCCTATGGTAATTTTCGAACTCAATTAATATTTTTTTGTATAAAGTAAATCCCTAGCTAAAACACTCATGATTCTAATTCTTAGTTCTAAGTTTTTATCTTTTTTGTAATTTCTAAAAAAAAATCTGAATTTATTCTAGTGGCCAGCAAGTCATCCATAAAAAATTAGCTAGCCCATCCTTTGAAAATTCCTGACTACACCAAGCTTAAAAATGTTAGCAAAAAATTTGAACTTGTATGCAGACTCTTTCCTTGAGTTAGCAATGTTGGATTTTTTATTTTTTATTTTAATCCAAATCCTCTACTAAAAATTCAAAGACTAATTTGTATTTTTTGAGCTATACAATATGGAAGAACTATTGAATTTCTAATAGACGATTTAGATTAATTGTCAAGACATTGAGAGGAGGTGTGATAATATAAAAAATATTTTTTAGGTAAAAAGAATTGGGAGATAAAAAAAAACATTGAGAAGGTGCTTGAAATGAGATTTTTTCAACCCAAAAGGTTTATTACATACAGGGCTCACACTCAAAGCTGATGATGGTGAAAAGACAAACCTCACCCCCAGAATTGATTTACACAGAGTATGATACAACATTATATTTTCACCCTCACTTTCCTCCCACACAAACCAACCACCCATATTGAGGAGAAACTTCCCTACTGGTAAACTCAAGAACTTGACAACCGATCAGAGTGGAAAGAGAAAAATTGGCCCCATAAAAGAATCAGAATTGCCAAACTAAGCAAGTAGTAGTGTTCAATAAAATGCTATAACCCCAGTTTCTTCGAGAACCAATCTGAAAGATTTGCTATCACAAATCCTGCAAATACCTGCAACATACAACAAACGCAACGTAAAGAGTTCATAGATGCAACATGACACAAGTTTGAATGCGTATCTTGTGCATCAGACAGCATTGAATGAAAAACTTGGTAATTTAATATAGAGATCTAGACATCATTTCCTCCAAAAGTGAGTTAGAAATGCTAAAACGAAATGCCTTCTTGAACAAAGTTTTGCAAAGGTACTACTGTACTACTAACTACTAACTACTAACTACAGATGCTATATGCATAGTTATGATAATATCATACCTGAGCAGACCCAAGTATGTAAACTGCTGAATAATGACGGCCATGGATGAACATGTCAGCAACCATAGCGAGGGGTATGGTAAGCGACATGCCCAAGGTGGCCACCAGTGGAGTTGTCCACACAACACATAGCGCCCTGTAGGAAGTTTTGTATTATTAGCCAAATAGAGAAGTGGGAGTTTAAAACATGTGACAATGCAAGTGTGGGAATCCCAGATTGAAAAAAGGATTGTTTTAACATACCAGAAGTAGTCTGAGAGTACACTTCCAACAAAGCCATTGGCAATAACAACTTCTTCCAATTTAGCAGAGTGAGGAATCGTAAACTTGGGTTCAATGCCCAATGCTGTCAATGGCCAAACTGGAGAAATAAAAAATAAAAAGAAGAGAAAAACGAGATTATTCAGTCAAGAGGTGACAGATTGCCTTCCTTTTTAAGAACCTCAGACATATTTCCACCAAGCTAGCACTGTGCCTTGCTTGATTTCTAGATATCATATTCACAAGGAGAAAAACTGAAGCAATGCCATAAAAATAGCCTCTTACTGTACCACTTATTACAATTAGAAAAAGTGAACTCCT